AAAAACTCACTTCTAAATGTTTGTACTTCAGCAATTTGTCGTCGGCTAGCTCGAAACGACGATTTGAATGATAGAATGAAAAATTGTTTCCCCCCCTTGGGACATCAATGAACTCAGGATGACCGAATTCATTTCCCATAAAATTCAAATATGATTCTCCGCCCAACCCGAAAGTCATCAGGCGAATCATCTTATGAAGAGCAAGACCTCTGGAAATCGCATCATTCTGAAAAACGTCATCCATCTCAGACGTCGTTATCAACGGACCTACTTGATCAAATATTCCCATGTGCTCGTACATTGCAGGTCCCATCAACCTGAAAGCGAGGCTACATCCGCCAAGCCCTCCCTCGCTATGAGGAGAGTCGTGTTTGTTGAGCTGCTCGTAATAAACCGCTTCCGTGTTCTTTGCAATTCGATCCCAAGAAAAGCTGAAAGCAGCTTTCACACGACCTCGCTCGCCCATCCACTATAACCACAAATAGAAGCGTCCACATCTTGCCAATCGACTTACTCGTGCATGTTCGAAGTTTCTGAGAATTTCACAACATCCCCAAGCGATACTGCTTGCGTTTGGATCCACCAGAACACCATCTGTGTTTGGAGAAACGAAATCCCCGCGGACCTCCGCATGTTGTCGCAACCACTGGCTTGAATGCTGACCACGCTTCTAGGACAACAATCCCGAACGGCTCATTCCGGGAGGGTACAACGACCTAAAGTGCTGACTGCATTTGACGCCCGGAAGATCACACCTACCGCATCGCACGCCTTGAATAGAGACTTAAGCTCAGCCCCCGATTTCGCTCCAAGGAATCGACATGCATGTGCAACCCCTAATTGCTGTGCTCGATTGATCAAATTCTGTTTCATATGTCCATCTCCTACTAATACGAATTTCGCATCTCCTCTAAATTTTAAGATGAAGGGAATGGCCTCAATCAAAAGATCAGGTCCCTTCTGGATTGCCATTCTCCCAACGAATAGAAGCATCGGTTCCATCGGGTTGGACGTCATACCGTGCCTTGATAGGAGCAGCGTCTTCAAAGCCATCGAAATTGCACGCATTGATTCCATTGTAGATCACCTGATAAGAAGTTGTAGCACTGAACGATTGGGTGAATCCGCAACACTTGGGATATGGAAAACACATAATGATACATGATAATATATTATGATACGATATTGTAGAAGAGAGAATGAGGAATGCTGGGCTGGAAGTCTGGTGGCCTATTGAACAACGCGTACTTGAATTTTCTGACGATGAACTCCAAACAAATGTGACACTTCGTCCGCGAGAACTCCGGAGACGCAAATGATGCGATCGCTAATGTGGCACCCCTCCCGCTCAATATCTGAGATCCTCTTCGATTCGCCCCCGTATGCATTGTTGCCACAACGTCCAAACTCTGTAGAATGCATTGTTTGAATACAAGTGTGACCCTGTAACAGACAGGATCATATGTCGAATGGAACTACAGAAACGACATGCATGTGGCCGTCATCCTTGTCCCACACCTGGTGTTTGGCCTGAACCAGAGATTTCGCTGCCAGCCAATCATGCGCGTGGCAGATGTCGAACATCTGTCCCATGTATTGCTCGACAAGATTAAGGTGACCAATGAAACTGTCGCACATATTTCGCATTTCTTGAACGAAGTCGGAGTTCAAGTTGAATGGACATTCATGATAATGGACACCATAATGGACTGAATGTTGGGACACACTTCCAACGGCGCGAACGAAGATGTGAATTTCATGTCCTAAAACGCGCCAAGAGAGTTTCTGTCGCTAAGTACATGAAGCGCAAGAAACGATACTCGGTGCCCGCGGAACGAATCCAAACGATTCACCGCAAAGGCAAGGGCTTACCGAGTCGCGCGAGACCAGCAGCGAGTTCCGTCACGTGAGGTGCGACGCCTCCGACAGCGTGCGTGTGAAGAGATTCCCAGGCGAACATTGCGACTTTAAGTGTGCGGCGAGAACGTAAGGAGTTGGCTAGGGTTTCTGATGCCGCTATCGTTTTCTCTAATGGTGACCGAATCTCGAGGGTATTGACGATTGAAGACATTTCTATAAAGATGTCATCGCTATGACAAAGTTGTCGGATCCACTACAAACAAAAACAATCATGAATCCATTATTACAACCGATCATCAACGATCCATTAAAATCGTAAAAGACCGATGCGATGTCTTCAATTGATACACGAAATTCGTGATGAATCTTCAATGACAGACAAATGTATTTTATCGATGTTTGATCCTATCAGTGCAGCTAAATAAATTGATAATTTTTATTCTTGTAGAGACTCCCACCTCATCAGCGATGTGCGGTGCCATGCGGTAATCGAAACCCAATCCTCCCTCGGACAAATCATGCGCTAGAATTGGCATGCGCGAGTGGTCTGTCCCAATTGTCAACACATGATTCTTTTTAGGTGAAATTGAATGAATAAAATCGTTGACAAGCATCAAATACGCTGATGCTTCATCATTGACTTCAAATGAAAAATATCTTCCTAGATCATTATAATCGCGGAAGTCTCGACCAACACCGTGATGATGATACAACATCGACGTCAACCCTTCAAACCGGAATCCATCAATTTTGTATAAATCCATGAAACAACTTAATTGGGACATTAAGAATCGACACACTTCTGGCTTCGAATAGTCGAACAGTCTACAGTTCCACTGTGGATGAGTCCCAGATGTCCCACTCTTGAAAAATCCTCCATCGCCTCCTTCGATCTCGTTCAACCCTGCTGCAGTTGATGCCGATGAATGACTATGGATAATCGAAAGAATCACGTAAATTCCAAACTTGTGCGCTTCATCAATTAGGGCCTTCAGCTCCTCTGGCGTCCCAAATGAAGAGGCAGGGGCGAGGAAATTGGTCACTTCCCAACCGACTGACGTCAACGAGTGCTCAGGGACTCCAACGAGAACCAGCGCGTTGTATCCCAAGCGATGAATTCGAGGGAGGACATCCGTTCGAAACTCATTGTATGTTCCGAATCGCATTTGGTGCGACGAAAATCCCACGTAAGCTTCGTAAATCTTAGGTCGTTCTGGGCGTGATGGTGCTGCATGCTGAAACTCATGGCACTCCGTTTTGGGAGGGTGCCATACAGCAGCATCGTAGACCTCATTGCCGTCCTCAGATTTCCAAACGACCGACGCTGATGGAGGCACTCGATCAATCTCTTGATCGCTGTGCGTTACGATATGCAGTTTATACTTCATCTTGTGTCTCAGAACTTCCTCACGGTTGCTCCCATGTTCCAAGGTGATACTCCAAACGTCCTCACCAAATTGTTCTACCGGCAGTTTTGTGAGTGGGTGAGAATGTCGATCCCATTGATTGAAGTCCCCCATCATATAAACTCCTTTGACATTCGGAATCCACTCTCGCAACACCCATGCGGTGTCAGTTCGGTGTAAACCCAAATAGCGGTGAATAGATTTCAATAAGGAGAAAGTCCGATTATCGGATTTTCCATCAATTGGTAAACCAAGGACAGAAGATTTCTTGGCCAAAAATTTGGAGTGTCTGAGAGAAAAAGAACATCAACGCTGAAGACGATTAGAAGCGGAAAGTCAAATCGAGGGAAACGATGACGCCAAAAATGGATGAATTATAAAATAGATTCGTTGGCTGACAAAGTGAATTCATCTCTTTACTTTTCACGCAGGGCATCTGAGAATGGATCCAGTCTCATGTCACGCGCTACGACTGCTGTTCCGTCCTTTGGTTTGAGGGAATCGGCAGCAAGGCATTCGAAACTCAGAGCTGGTGGACGTTTACTGATCGTTTCTCGAAACATGGGAAACCATCGACGTGGGAGTCATGGAGCTGATTTTGTATGGAATTTCCAGTTTGCTCGAGGAAGCAGGGACTTCGGCGCCCGGGACGGCTTCAGCGCTTGTCCGCAAGGATTGAATTTCAAGTCGACTGTCAAACACTCCTTGATAAAACTGAAGCCTTGGCGGACCTTCGACTAGAGCCGAGACGCTTCGACGCCACCGTTTCCACAAAGAAGTTTGACGAAATGTTTTTGATGTGTCCTCGCTGGAGAGGAAGGGCTCTTATCATGCGCTCGGTAAATGCGCGTACCTCGTGAAGTAATAAAGGACAGTGAAGAGTCTGCCACTGGCTGTTGCCTCGAGATCTTGATGCACCTCAAATGTAACGAGCCCCGTCTCTTCTTCTGTCTCTAGTGTTAAGCTTGATTCGAACGCAGCGCATGATTCGATGAATGCGCCGCTTTGCCCTGATGGAAATATTCAATAATACATTAATTTGTGTGATGGGATCATGTTGTGAGCTTACCAATCTTTGTCTTAGCAGTTTCAAGAATCACAGCCAAATACGACTGAAACTTCTGCACCTTTGGAGGCGTAGCGAACAACAATTGGGATTTCCGATGAGAAGCAAGAGGCGCAACAATCATGCGTGAACGTGCCATGACAGGAGGAGACGCGGATAGCGCAGAAGCACGTGAGAGGAATTCGGCGAGAGAGTTGGGACCTGACGGCGAAGAACTTCTGAAGGCCTCGATGAACCGACTCGATTGTCGGATAATCTTGATTTCCGGCTTGGGGACGACAGTCGTAGCAGTTTCAGTTGGGGTGACTTCAGCTGTCGTCAACTTGGACGCCGATATCGTCGACGAAGCTTCTGAAAATTTCGGCGCCGAGAGTTGCGTTTCTAGAAGAATCCAAGTGGCAGCCTCTTCTGTTGACTTCGCGACGAACCAAGAAATGCCTACAAGAAAGAGAAAGAGTTGAAAGGCGAATTTCTGAAAAGAGAACTTGCTTGGAGGAAGAGAAGAAATTTGGGAGGACAATAATCCGACTACTTCATTTTCAGTCTCCTGCCAGAATAAGAAAATGCAACGAAGAATTGCCGATGGATGCATACCGAGTTGACCTTAAGTGTGATGAGATCAACACTTCCGTATTTAGATTCCTCGCTGTTGGGCTCTGCGATGAGAGATTGAGACAGCAAAGAGCTTGATGGCAGGCGCGTTATATATTGTTGACGCTCTTTATGATCCATCTGATCAGACGTCCCGCCGTTGGTTTCCACAGCTGCCATATTGAGAGACGATGAAGTTGAAAAATTAGGCAAGATTTGGACCGGAGAACAAACCGGGAGATGCCACAGGAGGCGTCCACAATGAGACAGGAGTAGAAGTGTTCAAGAACAACGACACTAAGCGCTATACAAACGGAGATAACAGGTTCACTAAGAGAGTTTCGGACATGCACGTAGTGCAGGACAAGTGCTGAAATATAGCGGGACGAAAAAAGCAGATTTTTAAAAGGTGAATGAGAGCCGCTAGAAAAAACATCGATCATGACAGCCATTCCTCCAGTATCCCAGTTGCTTCATTTTCTTCCACCGCAGGAACTCGAGAAGGTCCTTTATGGTATAAGTAAGCAATCACTGTTATTGTTTTGTGGCCACTGGGTCCAACTTTGACATCCCTCCAATGAACTGATATTCATTCTGTTTTTAGCTGTTTTGCTTCCAGAATCTTCTGAAGAGATTCTCCATCGTGTTGATCGCCCGTTTGCAAGTTCTCTTTGATGTTTCGGCGAATCGACATTTCATCTGTTCAGATTATAACAGAGATGGGGATTCATATCGATCCCCATGGTCGAATAAGTATTTCCCAGAAGTCGAAGCGGATATAATTCCCGCACCCACAAAAGGGACATTGTCTTCAACGATAATAGGGGGCGATGATCTCGCTCAAGGATTGATACCGTGAGCCTGTTGCAGTATCACTGAAAGCATTGTGGTACAGCGCAAAGTACAGTTGCCGTTGTACTTCTTCGCCGCTTTGTGGGACTCTTTTAGTCGCCTGTTCCGTCATTTCTTCCAGAAGCGGACCGCTTCGTGAGATGGAAGTTCGATTTAACGACATTCTTGATCAATACCGAGCGGCATTCTTTGGAGGTGGGCGTCTCGTCTGCGTTCGTCTGGAGTAAACCTGCTGGAGAGGGAGGCTTCTCCGCTGCGTTCCTGTTGTACAAAAGTAAGAACTGCCTTGGGACACTACGTCGATGTCTGTGGGGTGTAGCATCCCATGAAGTCCCGTTAGAAGCAATTTGGAATTCGAGTCATGTCTTCGAAGTGACAACAACAACGACATCAGGTGAGTAGAGAGGAACTCCTAAAAGGAACTAGTCTTCAATGCAAATGAGAGAAGGTTCGCTCATTCAAACGGGTTTTCCAATCTTCAGTGCAATACCGTCTCGTCTCGACTGTCTCACTCAAACTGATCGTCAATTCTCAAGACCTTGTTATGGTTGATCTTGGAGCGACGCTGACTGAAAAGGTTCGCTGGAAATGATAAGAGTTTCCACCTCGAATCGCTTTTTCGTTTTCCCTCAGAAAGACGTTCAAAAGCGCGTGCTTTCTGGTGCCCCCCAGGAAGATGTCCCAGCCAGTCATTTGGAGTACGTTATTGTGATTACTTTGTTGATGCTGCATCACTTTGTTGATGTCGTAATGGTCCTTATCTCGTTCAAGAATAATGGGGCCAATGATGGAGACAATCGAAACGGAACTTCGGAAAAAGATTGAGGACATTTATATCGTGAAGACTGAAGCAATTCTATCATCATTGAGAACTGTTGAGTCATCCAAAGAAACAGGAGAGTCCCAACGTGTACACCGTCGCGCATCCACTAACAAAACTTCACTTGAAGAAGTGAGTCTTGAGGAAACTCCATCATGTCACTGATATACATGACGATGATGGATGATTGATATACACGACGATGATCGAAATGATCCTCGTCTTCCCAGGATGTCATGCGAGACATGAAAGAGAGACTTGCTGGAATTCAACCCACATCTGCCTCGCTTTGCACTTGATTTTGATCTCGAAGTCTCAACGATTGTCAAAACACTGATCTCATATCACAGAGTGACATATCAATCCTCAGCAATGGATCGAAGCTCTGGGCCGACTAGCTTAATTATATCAGACGCCGTTATATCTGCGAAGAACGAAACTATTAAACGACCTCAAATACCTGCTTACATCCGTTACACAGACTCTCAGCCTTCTTTGCAGACGTGCGCACCACAGAGGCAGCCCTGAGAGACAGAACATGTGCGTGATAGACTCTTGCATGGTGCGACTCATCTTACATTCGTGCTGCGACAAGAGGAATGCCAACCGTAGCCTCTTTGTAAAGATCGGGTTTCTCGAAATATGTAAGTGTTGACTTCTTCCAGAAGTCCCCGGCGCGCTTCTCATCGGCCTTGTCGACGACCTTCTCATGCGACCTCAAGAATCCAAAAACTGCAGAGAGAGTCCCTGCCAGAATGTCGCCTTGTCCCCCCTACAAAAGACACATCTGTGAAAGGTTATGTCACCGAAGGCGCTCACCACAACGCCGTCTTGATCCTTCAGTAGAGCACAGCAAAACAGAGAAGCCATCGGTGATAATATCTGTACTCCCTTTCACGACGATGACCGACGAGGAACAAGAGCGAATCAAACCGACAGCTCGCTTGATAACTAGAAAGTACAATCGAGAAGGGCAAACATAATGAAGGGCAAATATAATGAAGGGCAAATATAATGAAGGGCAAATATAATGAAGGGCAAATATAATGAAGGGCAAATATAATGAAGGGCAAATATAATGAAGGGCAAATATAATGAAGGGCAAATATAATGAAGGGCAAATATAATGAAGGGCAAATATAATGAAGGGCAAATATAATGAAGCCTATTGTGATCAATTTCTTACGAGAAGTGACATCATCCGGTAAGGGGTCAGCAAAACTGTACCGGTGTGTTTTTGGATTACACTCTAGGAATAGAACATTGTTGAGGTCTTGATCTAGTTGTATGCCACTCATGAAATCTTCCATCAATGAAAGCTCATGAATATTCGGAGTAAAAATGCATCGGGGGCGCGTTCGCAGCTGATGAAAGAGTTCAGGTCCCGCGCGGAAAACATCCGCGTCACAAATCTGCAATGTCCCAAAAGCATCAACAATCATGAACCATAGACGTACAAGGGGAGTAGTAGGGGCTGCCTGGTCGATAACATCCCGCATGGCTCGCTGCATTGCGGGTGTTGAGCCACAGCCAGGTCCCACAACAAGAGCATCGAATCGGGAGAGCTGTTCAGTAGAGACATCGTTATTACAGAAAAAGTTTGACGAGCAGAAGATTCGGAAGGACTTACTTTGGCAACGATTGAATTTGTATCATAATCATCGACTGAGTCGAACAGCTAGAAGAGGAGGTTCAAGTTCTATCGAGCGATAGAGACGGCTTACTGAATGAACGATTAATGTGGGACTGTAGCATTTGATCGGAATTGCTGCAAGTGGGTGGCAAAAGACATGAACGACATCAGCGCCCTACATTGAAAACGAATCTCATCAAGAGAGTGTGTTCCTTCATCGTACCGATTGCTCTGCTGAAATTGCGGCAAAATATGGAGCCCCTGTGTATTCAGGAGACCCTCCTACAACTCCGATGCATCCTATAGGAAAACCTTAAGTGGAATCTATTGAGGGGGGGATCACCTCTTTGGCCTTTATGAAGCCCCGCAGGAACCGCCAAAATGTCTGCTATAGCTGGAGGCAAGGTCGAAGTTCTGAGAGGTTTGCTTTACCTGAGGAACGGTAGATCTTCTTTGCTGGCATTGGAACGTTGCGTTTTTAGTCACCAGGGCTGCGCTCAGATCTCTTTAGGCACAGGTGGCTATAACCCTATCTAAGCCCGCCATGGATCTCGAAGACCTGTATTATTACGATGAGGAGTACCTTTACTACAACGACCTG